TAAATATTTACTACAGTAAATAAATATTTGTTCAGTAAAAAAAATTGTTAAATCAAATTAACATTTCTTGTCAAATGAATACATCTTTATATTTAATAAATATTTAATTGGCAAGTATTCAACTAAATATTTATTGACTATATTTTTTTTCAGTGTACATATCTATTATCTATATAATTCGATTTTCGAAAATTCGAAACGCGTAAAATTATGCAGTAGAAGAGACAATCAACGACGGAAGATTCGAGTTTTATTAAACAAGTTCTATAATTCTGCGAAAATAATAAATCTATTTTTTCTCATTGGTTGCCAGGGATGTTTTACCAAATCGCATCGATTCCTGACCACATCTTTGACTCGCGGTGGTTCCGAAGGTATTAAGATAATAACTTTCGTCATGCAACATGGCATCACGATTGATGTGCGATATTAAATAGCTAAGGTACGTCTCTCGATTCTACGAAGATGGAAAATGTTATTAATTATATTATGTTGAACAAGGATAGATTTAAAAAATGCTTCCCTCCCCCTCTCTCATTCTTTACGAATTGAAATAAAATTTCACTTGAGAACAGTTTGCATCAAGAAAAGCCTTCACAATCGATGTGACTTTTCTCTCTCGGCGATAAAACGATGAAGCGTAATAATCATCAGATGATTTAATTAGTGAGAAAGTCTGAAATCGCGAGACAACCATCTCAGTAGCACGAACTATTATCTTAGCTGAGAGATCAAGCGTTAATCGCAGATTGTGGGACATTCGCCACACAGAAAGAAACGGCGCAATAACACTTTGTAGAGCGACGCGCGAGGATGTTTTTATTAATAACTACTCATAAAATAAAGAAATGAACGCAAGGATGTTGCGTGATTTTTGGAGGTCTCGTCATTCCTCTTGCATATTAAAATCGCAATATTGTTATATAATCAAAATGTTGAAAAATGTAAAGCAAATTCGGTTTGAATTGACATTCCTGATTGTATAATTATATCTAATTAGAAATATGATAATAACATAAAATATAGGCAATAGGAGTCAATTAGCACAATTCTTCTTAACATTAAATATATAAACCTTGACCTTGAACGTTTCCATTCATGGTTTCAATCTTCATTAGCATTCCCTCTAACACAATAGTTGGATTATTGCATTATAAAATAATATCTCCAACGTTTTTCCTCTCAAAAAATTGAACCGTTAACTGTTGAGATAAGTCACATATTCACAAAGTTAGAAAGCTGAGTGATAATAAGAATTCAAGCTAAAATTACATAAATGATTAAATTATCGCATGTATAAATTTAAAAATTAATAATCATCTCATCTCACACAGTCGATGCTCCAACGTTGAATAATAAATATGTCGCATTTTAATAAATATGTGCATTGTTAATAAGTTAAAAAGTTAAAAATTATCGTCAAAATTTTAAAATATTAATGAGAGAACAATTTGTCTTGTCATTTCGACCGTCGGCGTCGTTGAATAATGATTGCTAAACAAATAACATAGCGATCAATTTGAAGACAAACTATAGTTTATGACATTAATTATATTGTATTAATTGTATTATATTACGAATAATCTTAGAGTTTATTAAGAATCTCAGTATAAGCATGATTTAAGGCAACGATATCATGTTGAAAATTTAACCCATTGGTCTGTCGATGTTATTATCATATTTCTAAATTGTTCAATTAAAGAACTCTATAAAAAACTTATTAGTTTTATATTAGTTTGTAATTTTTCATTATGTCTAATTTGAAATCTCTCTCAAAAATGGTAAAATGTATAATAATAAAATCTTCTTCTGCAGAAAGAAATTTAAAGATTTCTCTCTATAGAGAGAAATTATATAGAGATGCAGGGTTGAGTAAGTTAATTTTTTTTTTAATTGAATAAAGTTAAAGTTAATGGCTTTACAAAATTAATAAAGTTAAGTTAAAAGTTGAAGGAATAAAAAATTAACGTAAGTTAAGTCAATATTGAATTAACTTAAGTTAAAAAAAAATTATTTTTTAGATCAAAATGTCCTAATTTTTCTTAAAATGAGATTAAATAACTACAATATAGATTATTAAATAAATTAAATTTTTAATTTTTTTATTCATATGTGATGTAAGTATAACACATAACTATATAAGTTATGTAACTTTAAAAAAACAGCATAGAGAAGATATAAGATCAGTGATTACTTTTTAATAAGTCTTAAGCCATGAAAAATTGACCAATTACAATCGAATGCAAAAAGAATATTTGACTGTAATTAGTCAATTTCTTATGACTTAAGGCTTAAAACATCTATTGTAGATCCGGACTAAGACTTATGGCATAAGGCATAACCACATATATCAATCAGAGAGTTGTATTAGCATCTTAAGAAATTACTTAAGATGATCTTAAAATATGAATAGATATTACAAATATACGCCCTTCTTATTATATCTTATTATTTTTTCTAAGATATTTAAAAGAGATAAAAAAATTTAACTTAGAAAAAAGTTAAAGTTAACGTTTAAAGGTAACTTAGTTAACTTAAAATTTAATGCATTTAAAATTAACTAAATTAAGTTAAAAATTATTAACTTTTTAACTTTTTTTTTAACTTTTAACTAGTTACTACCCAACCCTGGAAATATGGATTGAAACCTTTGAAAAGATGTTAGAACGATCGATAGAATGCAGTTCTGACATCAGCTGCTAACAATAAGTTACAATTAGAACGCGCAGGCGATAATCATTCCGGTATGCAAATCCATGAGATAATGCCGTTCGTTTTCGTTTTCGCTCAAATATCGATGCCGATTGACGATACGATTACGTGTAGCAAATTACGCGTTCGTAGCGTTCGTGTCATTTTCGTCGCATTGCATTCGTATAAAGATTTCCTTTAGGTAGGAATTAATAGGAATGTTATAAAAAAAATGGCTTTTCTCATGGATATCGGATAAGAAAATAAAAAAGAGCTCTCTTAAGTTCCCTCATAGAAAAAAATGTTTAGTTGAATTAATTAGAATTCTAGTGAAAAATGAACAAAATTCTTTAAATAAATAAAAAGTTAAATTTACAAGATTTCTGATTAAATTTATTAAAATTCTAATTGAAATAACTAACATGCAGTAGATTTTACCAGAAATCTAATAGACAATCAGAATTTTGGATTGTTCATTTTCCGACCAAAATTTCCAATTAATTCAATCAAACTTTTTTTTCGTGCATCATCTCGCTATTCCCACTTTTTTTCCGATTACAATGATGGCAGGCGTGAAACTTAATATTACGCTCATTCAAACGGAAAATGAGTTGAGAAGAACTCGACGAAGAACATGACGAAGCTGATGTATGTCCGTTTCTATCAACGCAATTTAATTTTAATCTTAGTTCAATAACTCTTTACTTTTATCTAGTTCTAAGAATTGTTAGATAAAGATAAAGAGTAATTAAGTCGAATCGAGATTAAATTAAAGTTAATCTACATTGTTAGAAACGTGCATTAATCGATATCTTTATCAATATAAATAGTGTATCATTGAAAAGATACGACATATTCTTTCTGTACATTGTATGCAATTTCGACACTATTTCGCGCACGACTTGCATTCAAAAACGGTAAACGACAGAAAACCGCTGTGACCTGACAATATATCTTTGTTTTAAAATCCTCTATCGACTATTCTTTCTCGACATGCAAATGTGTTGAATCATCAATCGAACAAGAGCAAATGGCCAATATTTTTGGAACAATATAGGAACAGATATTCGCCGAATATCATTGAAATCACCGTATATAGTCTTTCGCGTGCACATCAAAATAATAAACGCGAGTGAAACATATTTCATCAAATTTGCCGGACTCGTATAGCTTCACTCGTGAAACTCAAATTTCTTTTCTGTTTACTGATTCTTTGGATAATTCGTTTGATAAAATTTATTAAACGAATTATCCAGATAAACTTATAATTATTATCCATATAATTTATCAGATAAACTTGCCAAGTGCAAAATGCTCAGTAAATTCCAGTAAACAGAACATCAAGTAATTCTAGCAAAAATGTAAAAATTGTAGTAAAGCAACTACAATATACCTGTCTTATTTGAGACATACTAATGATGTTAAGAGACACAGGAGAGATTTCAAGAGAGATTGGCTTACCAAATGTGTCCGAGTTAATCGGAGAACGAATAGAGAATGAATGGAGAATGGAAGATCCGTATCCAACGACGATACGCACGCGACTGACTTTCAGCTTTCAGCTAAATACATCATGATGTAAAATACAAGACATGTAGAGGGAGGCGAAACTGTTTTCTACACACACACACACACACACACACACACACACACACACACACACACACAGACACACACACACACACAGACACACACACACACACACAGACACACACACACACACACA